CGTCAAAAGAGACAAATGAAGCCAATGCTTTGACCAAAGGTGTGCTTAATAGTTGTGGTATCTCTCCTTCTGTACTGGGCTATTCACCAATTCTATGTCCTTGTATTACGCCTTCACTACCATAATTTTACCTTGTTTATTTCAATGTAGTATGGTTTGGAAACCAACTCAATCTGATTATTTGCACTGTTTTTGTCTATTTTTCGCAAACCCTGAGATATGAGATGATCACAGATTGGATGATATCTAAAGCTTTTACTGTCTTAAGCTGTGATGTACTGCCTCAACCGAACACAATATTAGTTGCAAAATATTGTAAGGAAGCTGTAAGAAGCAGGAGTACATAGTTGTTTGTTCACAAGTAGGTTTTCAACACTAGCAGTAGACTTCATATAAGAGCTGTATTCACCCTATTTGATTCAAGGCAATGATAGAGTGATAGTTGAAGTTTCTCACCATGATACAAGTAAGCCTCAATTTTCCTTCGAAATTACATATAGCCCTACTTTCCAAAAGGTGTTCTCACCTAGGCTGGACCACAGTTACAAACTCGCCCAGCCTTCCTTGGAAGTTACATCTGCCCAGTTACCATATGCGAAATTCAAAGGTTTCATTGTTGGAAAATTCAACTAAGAGTCCTTCATCACCTTAATACAACCCTTACATAAGATCCACCTAATTATAAGCAAAAAATAAGTTAGGTAGTCGATTGTATTAGCAAATACAACTTTGCTCCATCGATAATCAAACCAAACAAATGTGATGTGGCAAAGATCTAAGCCTTGTTGTAATCCACGTCTGCCCTGTGACCCATGGGTAGTTGTGGTAGTATGGCGTGATGGTGACATGTCGTGATGATATTCTAGACTTACCTGGCTCGATTCCCGCTCCGATGAGACCTAGGCGAGTTGGAGACTACAGTCAGGCCTTACTAAGAATACCCTTTGGGAGGTGAGGCTATGGGAAAATGAGGCCCTTAATATCCTTGTGTGAATACCACGTTGTCGAGTTGTAAGGCAGAAGATAAGGATGGGAATCGGGCAGCTGAGGCAGCTGACGGGCAAGTAGGATCATGTAGACGAAGGGTTCAACCGAAGGGTTTCTGGAGATTTGGGTTCTGACCTCAATGCTGGAAATGTTGGCATTGAAGGAGTGGCTGAGAGAGGATGCTGGGCAAAGAGAAAATGAAGAACTATTTGGGCAGAGAAAACCACAACGCTTGGCCCTCCGAGGAGCAAATGGGACCTGGCTGCCTGTGGGAGAGTAAAAAGTCAACAATCCTCCACAGAACTATCCGGGCAGGGACGACGATGTCTTTCGGCGCTCCGCTTCATCGCGCACTGACTCATCACCTCAGCTCTTTGCTTCTACAGGGTTCCGGCTGAGTGATGCGAAGCGAACGGCGGCGAAGCGGCAATGACACCGCCTTTGCAAAGGCAGTGGTTGCAGACCAAATTGAATGCAATCATAAAAACGCACAAAAATCGATTTTCTCGTCTGACAATGAAACGAAACGAAACGAAAC